ATCTCCTACAACGACCCAATTATCTTCTCTACTACTCCGTAGGGAGCTCAAGTGCTCCCAAAATTCCCTCACACTGGAAGCTCTAGTTGGGGCATGAATAAAGGTACAATAGAACTTCTTCCCCACGTCAATACTAACATCCATATAGTACTTATCACTACTAAGTGCATTATTATCAATACCCGCTGTCCACCATAATACAAAGCCCCTAGAAGAGTTGACAGGTTCCACATACTCTCTATTGGGGAAAATCTTGAGATTTCTTCTATGTTCCTCCATGAATTCTTCGTTGTTGCTCGTCTTCATAAAAAAAAACAATTGAAGTGCCATGACGTCGTACAAGATGTTTCGCATAACTTCTTGTAAGGGGTTCCAACTTACAATACCCATGGCATATGAGGTGGCTTATAGTGAACCACCACTGTCGTTGCTCGATCTCCATCTACACTCCCATTGCGTTCATTAATTAAGAAGGCCTTATACTTGTGATGCTTCTTTTTCCTAAAACCTCCTTCTGTTTCCCCTCCAAAAATAGAGCTAGATGGGCTCAAATTAAATTTATTCACTTCTTTAAGCCCATAATCTGCTCCTGTTGGGCTTTAGATCGACAAGCCCTTCCTTTTCTTCATGGTTAGGCTTGCTTCTCCCTCCAATTCCTCTTAAACATGTTGATAACTTCATGCGTCTGCAACTCATTTACGTTGGGCTCGCCAGGCTCTGAAACTTGGGCTTGTAAGTTGGGGTTGAAGGGCCCAAGTGAAAGCTGAGAGCCCAGTTGAGACCTCTTCTCTGCCTGCAGTTGCGCCTCCCCTTCTCCTTCGATTCTCAGGCTACATTGAAGAGCCTATGACGCCGTCTCCATCTCCATAGCCAAGCTCCTTGATCCCATCCCTTCTCTATATCTCCCCTTCATCCTTCCCCTGGGGACCTCTCTCTTCGGCCCTCACTTCTTCTTCCAATCGGCTAACGGTGAACCTCGACGGGATTTGGGGATCTTTGTCCTCCTCTCTTCTTGTCGAGGTCAGCTCAATAGTCGCTGCTCCTTCCCTCCCAAAACAAGCCCCTCCTGATCCCCTCCAAGCTGATGGGTCATCACTCGGATTGATGGGTTCAACACTTCCCTGGCGGCTTCTGATGTTGCTCCATCTCTAAGGGGAATCAGTCCCTGCCTTGAGCTCCGCGGTATATATTTCCGAAGTTGGACAAAGTCTCTCCTCCTCCTTTCTTCTTTCATTCTAGCACAAGTCGACCAGTTGTGGCCAATTCTCCCACAAAAGTAGCATAGCTCAACAAGTCTTTCATACTTGAATGAGATATATTCGCAATACTCTGTACTTGTGGCTTCATCAGTGAAGGGGAAATCGAATCCCATTGGGACAGGTTCGTACACGTCGATTTCCTCCAGCATCCTCTTGAATCTTCTATAGTCGTTGAAGTGTAGGCTTGCCCTGTCCAGATCCATGAATTTCAGGAAGTATAAGGTGTCAATCTACACAACATTTTGCTTGCACCTCTGGCTTTGGTGGAATCCATGAATCTGAACCCACACTGCCAGCTTGTTCATGGGGACCGCTTCTGACTCTCCTCTTCCTTCAAACTTCGCTAGAGCTGTCATCATATTGGACTTGCTCCATTGTCTTTCCTACCACACTCTCTCCCTGGTTTTTGCATCACTAATTGTGAAGATGAAGAGATTTTGGGTTTCGGTGGGTTGAACTCTGACTTCTCCATACCTTCCCCAAGCATACCTAGCTGCCCCTGCTGCCTTGGCCAAGGCGACCTTATTCTCGGTTAACATCTTCCCCAACAGCATCGATATTCTCCTACCTGTGTTGGTTGTCAGTTTTGGGCGATCACCTCTTCCTCCAGAAGATGAGGGTTTGAAGCGTTCGACGTTCAACCTTCCTGCTCTCTCTGCTAGCTTGTTGATATCCATTCGACTTTTGTCTCTCTTTTGTTTTGTGTAGCTCTGAGTTAGGGCAGAGTTTGGAACAAGTAAGGTTAATCGAAGAAGAGAAATGTTTTTTGTTTTAGATCCAGGGTCTATGAGGTTGATTCGCCCTCCCTTCACCCTCTTAAAATACTCCATCTCTCTTCCAAACCGCTATAACTCATGTCTAGTGTTGGTAGAAACCCTTCTTTTTCACCCCTTCCATCATCATTACAGAGAACTCTGGGCAGAATGAAGTCTCTGCTTTAATTTCTCCTTCTGCTCTTGGCTCAATGCTCAGCTGAGGCAGACCCTCCTCTACCACCGAATCTTCACTAATTGAGCCTTTGTCCATCTCTACACTCCATTCCTCCACCTTTTCACTAATATGTACCGTGTCATGGCTCCCATCTTTACCATCTCCATCTGGAGGCTTCCCTTGTACTTTACCTTTCTTCCTTACCTTTCCAAAAATAGTGACCCTCTTAACTACATATGGTATTCTGGGTCTATAGCTTCTCCCGAATTTTTTTCCCCCAACCAAATCTCTAGTTGCTGAGGAATAGTTACTAGAGCTGCCATCCAGCTCGAGATCTTACTCTAGAGGAGCTGAAAAAGTCTTAGCAAAGGAGACGAGAATAGGAACTCTGTTGAGTTCAGAGAATAGTTCTGTTAGAGAGATAGACACGAGAAAAAATCCTTATCGAGTGATAGTTTCTATCACATCACATAAAAAATCAATGTATTGTGTCTGCTAAAAATAAACAAAATGAATGCATTCTAAAGAATACAAGTATAGTAGCAATCTCACAAAAACAATGCAACTTCCAAACGACACCTTTGTCTCATTGACCTAGAATTGGAATTTCGAATCAAGGGAGGATGATGAAGGACACGTCAAATATAATACAGCTGAAGATGGCGTCGTTTTGAGAAGATTAGGTACAATGTTTTTAATCCTTGGGCTGCCAGCGCGCTTAAGCGCACCTCGATTTGATTTATCATGTCTTACACGATCACTTGTGTCTAGATTCACCTAGGTATAATTTAGGTGTTATGAATGCATAATTGTCTACCTAGAGCATTGGCGATGCATTTTGTCAATGCCTAGCACATAAATGCGTCTAGGCGTATACAAAATGACACCATCAATTTCGTGCAATTGTTATCAATTGGTATGCATATGACGGGATGAGATACGGTGACAACCCCTGAGGGGGTTGTGAGATTCACAATCAATGGCAATTTGGGTATGACAAAAAAATAAATTTATTAATGATTTTTTTTGTATTAATTACATATTGGAAATTAAAAACTTATATTAAATACACGCTTTTTAAGAAAAACCCCTATAATTAATACACATATATCTCTCTCTACTTTTTCCAGCAGCCTCTCTGCTCCGACTGCCAAACTTTCTCCGACCGGCAGACTTTTTTCCGGTGAAATCCTTGAATCAAGCTTACTCCGGCCACCTGCAAAAAAAGTTCTACTATGTGAGTGCGCTAGTGGTAGTGATTTTCGTCCAGTGGTACTGGTACGCTACTACTAGTAGTGGTAGCGTTCCAGTACCACTGGTCAATGACATTGGTAGTGAAACAATACCACTAGTAGCGTACCACTAGAGACTAACACAAAAAATCAGATCTGGAATTTGAAAAGTCACAGATCTGGAAAAAAAAAATTAAGAGATGAGGAAAGGGAAAGGTAGGGAAGAGGCGGTGACTAGGGCTGCAAACGAGCCGAGTCGAGTCGAGTTTTTGCTTAGCTTGAGCTCGGCTCGTTTATTAATTTTTCAGCTCGAGCTCGGCTCGAGCTCGAATTTTGATAATCCAGCTCGAGCTCGAGCTCGGCTTGAATAAAAATAATCTGGCTCGAGCTCGACTCGGTAGAGCTCGATAAATGCTCATTAACATAGCTTGTCAAGCTTAGTACAAGCTCGGCTCAAGATGAGCTCAATTTAAAATCATTTTTGCTGGAAAAATGTATAAACATAAGAATTTAAATGATAGAAAGAACACTAGAAACTATAAATAACATCTAAATTTCATACACATCTGTATTAGAAGACAATGTTCATGTTTAAAAGAGTAATTCATCCTTCCACAAGCTCAAAACAAGGCAGCTCGCGAGCTTAGCTCGACAAGCCACCGAATCAAGCTAGCTCGCGAGCTTATCAAGCTGAGCATGGTCTAGCTCAGGCTTGGCTCGTTAACTAACGAGTTAGCTCGCGAGCCGGCTTGTTAAATAACGAGTCGAGTGTCGAACGAGTTTTTTCCGATTCGAACGCCGAGTTGCTCACGAGCGGCTTGGCTCATTTGCAGCCCTAACGGTGACCTCGTGGCGGCGCCATGAAGACTTGAGGTGGTGGGAGGCGGAGGTAGGGGGAGGCAGAGGCGGCCGCGGTGGTGTAAAGACCGGACGGGTGCAGCGTAGCCTTGCAGGGGCGGCAGAGATGCCGTCGGCGTGAGGAGGACAGAGGGAGGAAGGCGGCGGCGACGATGATGGGGGGATTCTGTTTTTTTTTTTCAATGAAGAGTATTTATATGGAAAATGGAAAGGATCACATGTGGTAAGTTTTCCATTCCGAAGTCGCCCTTGTTTAATCTTAACCATTGATTTTTTAAAAAAAAAAAAAGATAAAAGAGAGAACGTATCCGATGGTTACAAATTGGGTTGTGAATCTCACAACCCTCTAAAGCATTGTCACCGAATCCCATCCCGCATATGACAATATCACATTGTCTTTTTTTTTCCGTTTCTTTTAAAAGTAACATTGTCTAGATTGTTCCCCATCTGGTGTTAATTGTTTGATTAGCATGTTTGATACTTACGTAATTGCCATCAAGTTGATCCTGCAACTGAATCTAATCGGTTCATGCTTACATAGTTACATGAAACTGTCTTGTAATAAGAATGACTATTTCCATGTGTTAGAGTTCTTCATATTCCGTTAACAAAATTTATCAAGTATAGTTACCTTCCTATTTTATTTCCCCATAAAACTTCAACTTAAAAGAGAACAAGACTTCTACTAATGGGAACAATAAATCATGATTAGAGCATGAACCCGGCTCATGTCCAAATCCATAACAGTTCAAACATCTTATTTCCTTTATGGCGCTCTTACTTCCGCTGAAAATGACACCATCAATTCCGTGCAATTGTTATCGATAATCTTCCCATTATCCTTAATCCGGAAATCGAGATGTGAACCTTAGAAATTCCCACCAGACAAAGCATTAGTACTCCCTTCACGTTTCCGTATATACATCCCTCCCACCACAGACAAAAAGCTCAATTTTTTTTTCTGATGACAAAATCTGACAGCCCTAGAACTTAAAGGAAAAAGAGAAAATAACGAAACAAAGAATCGGACATTATTATGGATCAAATGCACTGTCCAGGTTCCTTCTCAGGGATTGAACGGCGAATGCAGGATATGACTTGTGAAACAAGGAAAGGAACCCTTGCTGCCCTGACAGCAAGCTGCTGCTGCACCTGGTAACTCCTGAACCACTGCTTGTGGCCATTGTAGCATAAGTCTCATTCCTGGTCATGGAGCTTCTCTTCCTTATGATGGAAGGCATGTTTCTGAATGTCTTTGCTGAATTCCTCAAAATGGTTTCCGGGTTCAGAACCACTGAGCTTCCTTGTGTATGGCTTCTTGGGGTTGGCACACCTGGAACTTGTTCCTTTACCTGATTACCCTCGTCTCCATTCTGCTTACTGAATTCATTGGTTAACGCAAGCAGAGGTGGTGACTTTTCTTCTGTTGTGTTCATATCTAGAACACTCAGCACATTGCTTTGCCTGCAGTATCTTGGTAGAGATTCAGTTGAAGGAAGGACATACTCTGACGGGGAACTCTGAAGGTTTGAGAATTCTCTTGAATCGTTCTCCTCCATTGCAACTACAGCAGAACTGAAAGCTATTCGCTTCTTAGTCTTAGCTATGGAAGCAAGTTTCTTCTGTAAAGGGGACTTTGCAATGTCCAAACACGGGCTCTCTGCTGCACAACTGCACTTGGTCGGTTGATTCACAGCTAAATTGTTCCTCAATAAGCAGTTCCAGTGGTTCTTTATCGCATTGCAACTCCTGTGGATTTTACGAGGAAAAAACATGCTAAATTGGGTGACAGATGAACATAAACAAATTTCATTCCTGCTCCCACAAACTATTCAATTCGTGGTGTTAAGATTGTGGAGATCATTTCCTTCTCTAACAGATTTACCTTCCAGGCAGATATCGAGCTAAAGATGCCCACTTGTTGCCATAAATCTCATGGTAAAATGCAAGAGTCCTTTCCTCATCTTCGGTCCAGGAAGCTGCCTTAATCCTTGGATCCAAATGGTTATGCCATCTGAGAAAAGTTCGTTTCACATTTTAGCTAAAATGTTCTCCAAAGCATTCTTCCGAATAGTAACCAAGTTCATGCGACATTCTAAAACAAAGAAACAACAACCTCTCCCTGCATTGCTTGCCTAGGCGACCTGGCAAAAACCTTGCAATGACGGACCATTTACTCAGACCATGAATTCTGACCAACTCTCTTATGCAATCATCTTCCTGAAAGTTGAAGCAAACACATGAAACACAACTGCAATGCATAGTTTTGGTCTGTCCGATCACCAAAATTCAGAAGATCAATTACCTCCTTTGTCCAGGTTCCTTTGAAAATTGATGGATTGAGAACCCGGTGCCATCTGTAAAAGCACTGAGAAATTGACCTCCCTGGAAGACACTCAGCTGGACAAGACAGAAAATTATAGTCAAAACATCAAACTAAATTTCACAAGCATGCAAAAGGCAAACCGCAACAATGGCTATATGTTCACCTATGAGCCTCCATCTCCTCCCTTGAAACTTTTGGACAGTTTTTGTCAGAAGATGATCCTGTCCACCAGAACTCTCATATCGTTATCAAGCAGTGATGAAATTCTAAACAACCGTTCCCATGAGTTAGCACTTTACGTTAAGGAATGTCAAGAAACAATCTCATAAGTTTCATCCATCATAAGCAGTTAACCACATCTTCTTTGATCCAAACCCAGTTCACTAATCGGTCACTTTTACTACCCATATCCAGGAAACATTCGATCCAACTAAAGAAATAAAGAATGTGCAGCCACATTGAACTAGTAAAATTACCTACCTCATGCTTGGTCCAGCCGCTTTTCCTTGAATGCCTAGTAGGACCAGTTGTCCTGGCGCATGATTAAAACAGTGGATCATACGTTATAAGTCCTTTTCTTAGGCGAACAATAGAGAAAATAATTCGACAACATAGATAAACTCCATCTGTAAAAGCACCAGAGATGCAGGGAATGTGGGTACAGAGGCATACCTGTTAACAGAAGGTGTCTTTGGAATACTGATCCTTCGACTACCCAAATAAACCGAGCAGGGCAAGGCATCAATTGGTCCATCCCCTGAATCAGAACCACAAATTTGACCTTCTCTCTTGACTCGCATTATGCTTTTTCTTCAATTGAGAGCTTCACGAACCCCCACTAAGGGCACAAAGAAAACCCCCAAATTGGGTTAGCTTTGATGAGTTTCAGTAAATATAGAACAGAGATTCTTCGTTCGTTTGTCAGCTAAATTAAACACAACGAATTGCTTAGCAAATGCAAGCTTGATTAGAATATCAAGCAGAAAACATTCGCTAATTTTCTCGACCCATTTTCCCGCATTTTCTCAGGAACCAAACTGGGGGTAAAAGAAAATTGCGGAACTCTAGTTTGACAACCACTGCGAAAGCATCATGACCGAAGAGGAATAACTACTTGGCAAATGAACTACGATCAGATTCAAGCGGAAAACATCACATTGGCATTCTGATTTCCACGAGTCGGCCCATTTCCACCCATTTTTTCTCACGAACCAAACAGGGATGAAAAGAAAATTACGGAACTCAAAATTCAACAAAACCCAAGCAAACAATGATGAAACAGAGATACAAACTCAGACGGCCCATCATCACTAAGCATCCGATCTATCCTTCAATCAATCAAAACAAGCAATGATTCCATTTCAGTGTAGTTAGTAGTAGTGACTTCCAGAGCAAGCAGACGAAAAGGTGAAGACACTTTTTGTTCTTACCTCTCTCTAGAAACAGAAAACAGTTGAAGAAACAAAGCCGGGCGCTGTGATCTCAGGGAATCAAGATGGGAATTTGGAATTCCTTGGTGGGGAAGATTGAGATTCCTGTGGATGGATGGGTTATTAGAAAGAGTGGGGAAGTGAGCTTGGGGAGTGAAGAGTTGGTTTCGTTTTAAGAAGCTTCTCTTAAAAGTTGGCTTCCGGGGCAAGTTGATGAAGAAATGAAGCTTCCCGTCGACGCTAAACCGTTTTGACTGTTTGACCAAGAACTCGCCGGGCTAACTCCGTTCTGTGGGCTGGGCCGTGTCTCTTTAAGTGGGCTTAGGCAACGAGTTTGGAGTCGCTTAGGTAATCCAGCCCACGCCATTAAATAAATATGGAAAGACGACGGTTAACCAATTACGCATGATTGTTTCAAGCCGGTTGAAGTGTTATAGAATAATTCATCGTAAAATCTTTGTTAATGAATATAGTTTTAAATTTTTTTTTTGTGAGAATATAGTTTTAAATTTATTAATTTATAGTAATTATTAGCTAATCGATATATTAATAATTTAAAAAGATTTTTTTATGTATATGGCTTGACTATATAACCTTGAAAGGAAAGCATTATAGTGAGGGGTGGAGCCAAAATTTGACGTTCAGGGGCCGGAGTTTCTAACTCCGCTAATGCGGAGGGGTATGAATAGGGCATACAAGGGGCTCGATAGAAGAGAAGAGAGACAATGGTGACCATTATCCCGGCCCTTCATCGACACTGTAAAATTGTTAAAATTATCAAATAGTAAAAGAAAAACTATTTTTAATATTATGGTAACTGCATTTTTAAGATGATCAAAGTTACTCAAAATATTATTTAAAATAAAAACTTATAGAGCGATAAATTTAATATAAATTAGAAAAACTATTTTTAATATTACACTAACAAACATATTTCATATAATTGAAAGATGAATTTCGTTAATACGTCCTATTTTCTCCCAAAGTAAGATCTACACTAAAATTTTTATACAATGACAAATTCAAAATGAATTTAAAAAGAAACAAATAAATTAATCATGTATTTTTTTTGGTCAAAACAGGGCGCAAAGGGCGCCCTAACCTATATTAAGAACTGAAAAAATGGGGTGTTTGAATCCCCAGAGTATAAAAGTACAACCAATACAGAAGAGTGCTACTCGGGTTTTGAATCCCGTGAACCCCTATGGGAACATAGTGGCCAATGGAAGCGAGGTGGTCAGCCACGAAATTCGCTTCTCTGAAAACATGCTCTCTCCTGACAAGCCAAGGCTGAGCTAGCCATTGGCGGATCTCTGCGACGTAGGAATAGTGTGGATGCTGCGGAGTCGCTTGCTCGATCAAGGTCAGGGCAGTGCAAGAGTCTGTCTGTAGAATGACCTTCCTAATCGCCTCTTCCCAAGCAAATCTCAACCCATAAGCAATCCCAGTCAGCTCAGCACGAGTAATCGAACTCCCTCCCAAGTTCGTTGTGAATGCTTTGATAAACCGGCCATCGTCTCCCCTCACAATGCCGCCATAGCTCGTGCTTGCTGGAGAGTGGGTGGCTGAGCCATCGGTATTGACACAGGCCCAACCACTCGGCAGTGGCTTCCAGTTAATTTCCCGCTTCTCTCGAAGTCTCCCAGCTCCGAACACATTGCTCTCCTTCTCAAAGGCTCTGGTGATCTGAAGCCTCAGCTGTTTGGTGATAAACTGGAGCTGCTCATGGGTTTTCAACTCACTTCGGAACAGGTGATCATTCCGGTTCTTCCACAGCAACCAGCCCGTGCCTGCAAAAAGAGAACTATCGATGATATTACTCCGCTTAGATAAATTGTGCATTGACCACGTGTGAAGCTTGGGTTCAAAGAATTTGGCGTCAGGTTCATCTTCAAGGATCCCCGCCCATGTGGCTCTCGCAAACGGACAATCTCGCACGATGTGAAGTGCTGTCTCTGGGCCCCCGCCGCAAATTCTGCAGTCGACGTTCGTTGTCAGGTGGCGTCGTTCTCTTTCTGCATTGGTCAGAAGACGGTTATGGTTGAGCAGCCAGAGGAACGAGCGTACCCTCTGCAAAGTGGCGGTCTTCCAAATTGATCTCCAAATGGGTTGGCTTGTGGTCGGGCTCGCTGCATCGTCTGTTACGTCGTAGGCGATACGGAATGAAAAGGCTTCGTTCTGCGTCAGCGTCCAGAACCTCACGTCAGGCTCAATTTCCGTCGGCACCGGGTATAAAAGTACATGCGAAACAATTGTACGCGGTAAGTATGCATTGAGAAAAGGCTCGTTCCACTGACCGTTTAGGACAAACTCTGCTACAGGCACGTCCTCCATCGCCGATCGTAAATTGGGGGCATGGTCCCTGAGAATAGTGGAATCATCCAACCACCGATCACTCCAAAAGTGTGCCACGTGACCATTCCTGACATTCCATGCAGACGCGGTTTCCACCTGATGGCGGATGCGCAAGACTCCCCTCCAAAGATTGGATAATCGCCCTCTTGTTTTGAAGAAGGTGACCTCGTCCCTTTTGTAGCAATATTTGGCGAGTACGACGTGCGCGCAGAGATCGTCCGGCTTCATCATCAACCGCCACAAGATTTTCAACATGTATGCCTCGTTCATCCTCGTTGCGCCCCTAAGACCCAGACGCCTTCATCTTTGGGTCTACACACCGTCTCCCAGTCCACCAGGTGGACTTTTCGTCCCTGATCTGAGCTCCCCCAAACAAAGGCACGGATCTTCTTGTCAATGTATTCCCGGACATTTGCAGGGACGAAAGTCGTATGCATCGTGTAGGCTGGTAAAGCTGAGAGCACAGATTGTTCAAGGGTTATGCGAGTGACCATCGACATTGCTGAAGCAGACCATCCTGCGAGCCTAGTGTCAATCCGATCAATGAGCTCCGTGAAGGTGGCTTTGGAGACTCTGTCATTTATCACCGGAACCCCAAGGTAGCCTCCTAAATTCATCGTTTCAGGAATTTCCAGCTTCTTGCTAAGGCTCTTCCGGCGATCAGCAGTCATGTTCGCCGAGAAGAAGACTCAGGACTTCGGACGGCTGATCTGTTGCCCCGATGATGCTCCAAACTTGTCAAAGCATTCCATGATCTCATGGGCCTGCGTGCCATTAGCTTCGCTGAACAAGATGAGATCATCTGCAAAGAAAAGATGAGACAAAGTCGGGCCGTTATTGGTTAGCTATATGGGCTGCCAGTGACCTGCTCTTACCGATTCATCAATTAAATGATCCAAATGTTCCATACAAAGGGTAAAAAGGTAGGAGAAAGAGGGCATCCCTGTCTAAGACCTCTGGTCGGCTGGAATTCCTCCGTTAAGCCTCCATTCCATTGAATCTGCATTTTCGAAGATGTGATGCAAGCCATCTTTAGGTTGACGAAACCTTCCGGAGCCCCTGTAGCCACCAAGGTGTCGCGCACAATACTCCCATCTAATCCTGTCATAGGCTTTCGCCAGATCCACCTTTAGAACCATCCACCCTCGTCGCCCTTTTGGGACTCTCATGGAGTGAACCACCTCCTGCATAATGCATATATTGTCTGTAATTTGTCTTCGATATGAGGACCAGGACTGTCGAGTTAATTTCCCGAATTTTCTCAGTTTGGTTACAGCAGTCCTGAGCTAATTGGACCAGAGAAGACCCCACCGTATCCCAGCATCGTTGGAAGAACATCGGGTTGAGGCCATCCCTCCCCAGAGCTTTGAGAGCACCCATCAACGAATGGCTCCGTAAATTTCTGTGGTGTCCAATAGGGGTGTTCAAACGGTGTGGTTACCATGGTAACTGTTTTAACCAGTACTATTTGGATAATTTGGTTTGGTTTGGTTAAAGTTTTTACCTTGTTTGGTTTAGGTGGTTTGGTTTAGTTTCAAACACTCCTAACCATCCAAACCAAATTAACCAGATAAATAATTAGCCATATATCTAATATATACACATACTTAATACTTTGAATAACCACTCAAGAGTTAAACGTCATTCTTTTAGACTCATAAAATATAAAGCTTGATATTGTTCCTATAATGTATATTTGTATATGTAGAGTGTAGACCACAACATATGAACACCTAATTTAGATAAATCTCTTACATTATGTTGGATGAAAACTTGAAAGTAAGGTCATTTTCAACCTATGAAAATTGCTAAAGACTAAGTCATTTCAAACAAACACAACAATTCATTAACCCATACCGTTGTGATAAATTTTTGTTAGGTGAATACTTCTATACTAATCGTAAGATATTGTCTTAGTTGCATGTATTTATGTTAAGGGTCAACTATAACTATGTGTTGATTGTTATGTTTTATTCATTATATAAATTGTGAATTGATAAATTAACCAAAAAATTTCTCACTTAATGATAATATGATTTTATATTGGTTAATCTGGTTAACCAATTAACCAAACCGATTAAACTTTAATTTGGTTAATTTGGTTGTTGTATTAGTTTGGACGGTTTGGTTATGATATTGTATTTCATCGTTAGTGAAATTTAGCCTTATTTGATTTGGTAATAGCCATGGTAACCATTTGAACACCCCTAGTGTCCAAGGTAGCATTGAGAGCAGCCCATCTCGAGGCCTCGATCAGAGGAAAGTGGGACTCCAGGGGAGGAAGATCCCCACCCTCATCCGTGTAGAGTATCAGGAAGAAAACCCTTGCCATATCGAGTAAGGCTGTCGGGTCTTCTATCCACTCCCCTACTTCATTTTTCAGCATGGCTATCCGGTTTCTCTTCCGCCGTCGAAGAGTTCTAGCGTGGAAATACACTGTATTTTGGTCTCCCAACTTAATCCATTCCATTTTTGACTTCTAGTACCATAATAGCTCCTCTTGGAAAAGAATTAGTTCGAGCTCCTCGTGAACTTGGATGATTTGGGAGTCATTTTTCCCTGGTTAGAAGGTACAAGCTCCAGTTGCTCAAGACGGCGGATCAACCTATCCTTTTTCCTCGTGATGTGGCCAAAGACTCGCCTATTCCAAACCATTGCGTCATGGGAAAACGCTGTAGCCGACTCGGTGAAGTGAGTGCCTTTCGCCTACGCTACATCTGCCATGGGTCTGAATCCTTCGTGCATTAGCCAAGCCGCAAGGAATCGGAAAGGCTTAGTTCCCGCAGGCTGAACAGGAGAAGTCGGCAAAGTTAGCAGTGGCCGGTGGTCCGATTTCCTGAGACGAGGGAGGTGCCCGACTGAGGTCTCCCGAAATGCTATGGTCCAGCTGGTGTTGGCCATGCTTCTATCAAGGCGTTCTCGCAGTCCGGACCGGAACCAGGTAAATGGGGGCCGTATAAATCCCAGATCATGGAGGCCGATATCATGCACCATATCCTGGAAGTCCCGGATCCTATAGGAGTCAAAGTTGGCACCCCCAGCTTCTCCGACGGGTGGAGGATAGAGTTGAAATCTCCGGTCAATATCCAAGGGCCCTCAACATCTTTTGCTAGCGACCGCAAATACTCCCACAGAGCTCGCCGCTGACCGGGAGCCGGGTGGCCATAAATTGCTGACAGCTGCCAACCCTCCACCTGAGAGTTAGCTACCTGGACCTGCATGTGGAGACATTGAGGGTGTGAGTCAATTTCAGTGATAGTAAACTCACTAGAATTCCAAACAACCCAAATTCCTCCCGAAAATTGAGTTGCATCGACTACAAGCTTACTATCATATCCCATATCCCTAATAACTTCTAGGGCACAAGCCCCGCTAATACGAGGTTCAACAATAATCACAATATGAGGGCGAAATCTCCTGCGGTACTCATGAAAAGCACGCAAAACGCCCTTACTTCCTACACCCCTACAATTCCATGAAAAGATTTTACAATCCATAAATAACTGGGGTAAAGGATATAATTCTACGACGGGTTAACCCCGTCAATGATCATCGCCGTATTATTCATCTTCCCGCCAGCTTGGCCCTCACGAGGACTCTAGGAATTATCACTAGTGTCTGGCGGCTTCTCCGCCATGTCCTGGGCATGTTGCTTCTCTCCCAAGCTAACTTGTCCGGGTTCGGCCCTCAGAGGCTTGGACATTAGAAAGGGGTGGGGGGGTGGGGTGGCAACAGTTCCCGTTCCTTGTGTGATTGTTGATCCATTGTGTAGTGTGCTGCGTGGAGGCTTCGGTTGATGATCCACATTATATGGCCCGCGTTGTGATGGTTCCGTCCCGATTGTGTGTGCATGCATGGGAGCAGTTTCCTTGTTCCCAACGTCATGAGCCTGAGCTTTGTTTTTATGCTTTGTATGCACGTTGGGGATCTACACTCCTTGGGTTACGCCACCGTCAGATGGGATCACTGGGACGACCTGCCTAGATGAACTTTCCACCCTTTCCTCCTCCTACAAGACATCGAACCGGGACCCAGTAACTGAATTTTGATTTGACATTTTCCCCTGCGGCAACTGGTCTCCCCACTTTTGTGAGCGGGTAGATTGCTCCTTATTAGGTTGTCGCGGTTTTCGTTTTGCTATCATCCATTCACCATAAAGGGTGTCCGTTGTCATTCTTCCGCCACCGACTGGTTCACCACTGTGTTACTGTCTGCTTCCATTGGTGCATGAGTCTTAGTGAACAGACATGCGCCTTGTTCTGAATACATTCCGCAGCTTAGCCAGATCTTCTCCAAACCATCATACTGGATAAAGTACTTTTTCCATTAATCGTAAACTGCGATAAAAGAGGTTTGGTAAGATCAACCTGAACTCACACTCTCGCATAATCACTTCGAGCCTTTGTGCGCGTGGCGGCGTCTATTCGGATTGGTTTGCCCATGCGACACCCTATTTTCATCACCGCATCTTGATGGAAATAATGTATCGGGAGTTCCAGGAGGCGTGCCCAAACCACTGTGGATGATATCTCGTGTTCGTACGGGTCAAAGTATTTGTCCCACATGTGTACTGTAAGATAACTCGATCCGATCATCCATGGTCCGTCGGTGATAGCTCGCTCATAGGCTAGGCTGCTTGTAAACCTGATTAGGAAGTAGCCTTTCTTCATCGAAGTGACTTGGTTACCCCCCGCCTTCGCCCAGATGGCATTGAGGCGGAGAGACATGGCGGTGTACGACACCGATCTACTTAAAGCTTTAACCACCAAGGCAGACCAGAGATCCCTGCAGAACATCCTCTCTTTGGCGGCCGAAAACGGGATAGAGGGGCATTTGGGTTCCTCGTCCGCGTCAAACGAGGCTTCCTGTCCATCTTCGCAAATGGCTGCGGTGATATCCTCAGCGTCCGATTCCGCGATATACCACTCGTACGCTGGCTATCTCTAAAGAGCCTCCTTGCTGCGCCCATACTTTGCGCCCAAGTAGTTGGCCTAGGGCTCTTGCCCGACGTTGTTTCATTAGCGGTGACCTCCGGCATGGTCTCATCCGCGGTAGCCTCTATGTACGGCTGCGCCATTGTTTGCTTGGCCCTTTTCTTGGTATGCTAAGCCTCCTTATCACCCTTAGGGTTTGGTGAAGAAGACTCTGTTGGTGGCCGACGTTGGCCCGCACCAGCATCCGACTGCATGGGCAGTCCGGGACCTCCTCCTGCCGGCGGCAAGATCTTCGCGACATGAGCACGAAAACCCTAGCCCGCTCAAAATCACCGATTGATCGCCCCCAGAAACTCGGAGCTTTTTTTGCTTCCGGAGCTTATTTCAAGTAATATTAATAATGTATTTCAAGTAACCCATCCTATTTTTAGAATTGAAAAATAAAAGACTGCTAATATCAATATTCAAAAAACAAATATGCAAAAAACAAATCGTTACCCAATCTATATTCAAAAAACAAATATGCAAAAAACAAATCGTTACCTAATATAATTAAGGATGCTAAAAGTAAAAACAAATGCAACAATTGCTGCCACCTGGATTTGAAAGTCCAACCTGCGGGATTAAAACTTAAAAGATACTGCACTGCCGCTGGACTACTGAGATTGAACAGGTTAACTTTTGAACATTAAACAATATTAATTGTACTTATACGAAATTTTCAAAATCCTGATAAGTTTACACGTAACTTTCGAAATTCTGGGGGACTAAAATAAGACGTAGCTCCGCCCCCTCATTATAGCACCAAATGAGCTCCATCAATTACACTTGAGATTTGAGAGCCTCGTCGGATTGCTTGTTTGCGCCAATTAGAGGGCCGGATTCTGTTCTAGCTATCTTCCCTGGCATGCCACCTCACTAACGAGGAACAACATGGGGAAGGCACATTCATAAGCACCCTCATGCATGCATTGAATGAGCAAATACAATAGAAAAATAAAATCGGTCATATCTAATGATGATTAAGTATACATACATATGTACGTTTTTATATAAAATTATTGTTAAATTGATTCGTAGATAGTTTCAAAATCGACATGTTAGAAGGAAAAGGAAAAAAACAACATCGTGCACGTACGTATGTACAAACCGACGAGATAGAGTATCCTAAAGAGCCACGTCTCTCGAATGGTGCAATTTCGACAATGTATACAGGACCAACGGCGAGGCCCATACCAATTCCTTCTCCCGTGAGACCACGTCCGATTGGAGACGTGACGATGTCATGCATCGGTGAAAAACACGACGTAACTCTTAAGGTGTTAATAGTGTCGCCAATGATAGCTATGTATTACAACCTCAGATATTTGACATCGAACAACCCATCAAAGCACCTGCTTCCCATATATAATACTTTGGCCATGCAGACAATATATGTAGAGATCACTCTAATGGGACGTACGTAAGATTGAAATAGGTGTAGATATCGATATCATGATAAATATGGACTCACCGCTCGCCAAACATTGTTTGTACATTTAGAATTTAGCAAACTATAGGTACATAATTTACCAACAGTGCCAAAAATGACACTCTCACTATTTCTACTTGCTAGAATAATCCTTTTCTAATTGCATAACCACATGCGGAAACATTTCTTGTCACCGAAGAGTAAAAATAACGAGAGTATTTTAAGTACTGTGGGGTTCTATGTTGATCAGAATGCAGGGTTGGTCTTCACATGGGTTGATGGGTCGCAGCTTAAGGGTCATAAGTTGAATCAGTGTTGGGTTGATTTATCATATATGTGTTATTCGTTATATAACAAACATTTGTTATATTTTATATAATTTTTCTTCATGCATGGTATTTACTTTTCTAATCATCATAATTTTGATCAAATGATTGGTCTCGAACAATTTAAACTCTTAGTTGTATTACAATGAAACGGAAAAATATATAAAATGGTGCAAAAATAATTTACAAATTGATTTAGTTATTTATAAATTTGTCTGTCACGTGTTATTATATGAAATAAATTTATATTTAAAAATGAAAGAATGAATTTTAATATTATATATATCTATATATCTAAATGAATGGCCTCGAGTAGCCACCTTCTTGCTAGTGTTCATCAAGTTGATTGGAGAGTTGGTTCCAGTGTTCACAGGCAATGTCTTGGGACGTCGTAGGATTTTGCTGCTTTTGAGCATTGGAGCTAGCCATGGGGTTTTCCATGACATGCCTTGGCGGCATGATGTTACCTTATTTTCGCGCTCAGATGATGAGTCGCTCAATCTCTTTCTCGCTCTACTTCGTGATGTTCATTGGTGTGGAGGTGTCTCCTACAAGTCTCTTGGGAGTCATTCCATGGATGTACGGTCCAGAGGTGTATCTTACAATTGTCCTGGATTCATGACCGATTTCACGGGCTGGAGGTCCACACTAGTGATCTCCTGTGTCCTTTCCTCCGTTACGAAGTGTTGATCACGAGGAGACTACTTTCATTCCTCAGATTCGGACTGGCCTGTCGATGGCTCCGGTGTATGTGGATGAAATCCCCCCCACCCCCCGCGGACTAGACGATGGTTTTTTATGTATCCTTAATTATCTTCCTTTCACAAAAAATTCACCCTTCCCTTCTAACCCATGTGTCAAAGCATGGGATAATTTGGCAAATAATCCCACCCCATTCCACATCTCTGATTGAGTAAAAACTTACAAATCTCCACCTCATGCCCATCATTAACACGTAGAAAATTGGTTGGCTATTTTATTTACATGGGTGGGTGGAAATTTAACCTTCAAAAACACACAATTGACAACCCATCTTTTTTATAACCCATGGCAATGATCTAATGATCTATGAGTTGGATTAAGGATGGATGTGTTTATTCTCTCACCCATCTCAAGCAATCATACTCATCTTCACATTCACTTACACGTGGGAGAAGCCAAGCAAGTAAGGCTTGTTCTTTCCTCCAACAATTAACCTCTCTTGGTGGAAGTGTCATCAATCCCACACAAACAAACCACTTTACCCATCCTCTCCATCTATACGAGGAAGATGAGATGGTCATATTGGGTTTCTTTTTCTTATTTCATTGTTTAAATAAATTAAGGAAATTCACTTTCTTTTTTACCACAACCAACCCACATCTCTTTTTACTCCACTTGATACAGACGGAAGGGAAAAGAGAAAGACAAGTGATTTTCTTTTCTTTCTAATTTTAGTTTTTATATGTATTTGCTTGTAGCCAACAATCCATTGCACTGAAGGATGAGAGGTAAATATATTTTTGTTATTTTGTTACGAACATACCACTCATGATAGGAGCAGAACGCGCCTATAATATAAATGCGAAACTCATTTATGCTTTTTCGGCAGTTCATTTCAGATAAAATTTGAATCTCTCTAAATAGCTGGTCTCAAATCCAGAGAACTCACTTACTGGAACAAGATCTCTCTCTAGAGCCAGCTCATTACGCCGCTCCTGGTTACTCTCCTCTCAATACTGACTTGAGGTTTGGAGCAGGTCCCCGCCGACCACCACAGACGGGGTCCTTTTTTGCAGGTGTTCATCTCGAAGGCTGGTAGCGGACGGTAGTCGAGAAGTTAGCGCCCACCGTACCTCAAACATATTGAAGCAGGCTCCTCCAAACTTGACATCAACAATTTTTGAACACCATCGTCGAGGTAAGCTGCTTGGACGTGTTTTCTTAATTCTTTTTAGTGAACCTCTTAAGAACTTTGGGTAATAAATGGTAATTATGTATGTCATTAGCTACTTGACAGTCCTTGGTGTTACGAAATAGGAAATAGGCTGTGACATGTCAAATTTTTTTACTTTTGCTTTATTAAGTTGTTGCAAAGTAAAAACCGGCCATCTCGTTTGCGGCGTTTTCTTCCTCTCTTTTTTTTTTGCCATAGATATTCCCAAAATTGGAAACAATAGATATAGTGGGTGCCTTCTACGGTACCCTGGGTGAAATCCGGCGTATCGCATACCTTGAGTATAAAAACGCTATCTAGACCTCGAATTAGCAGGATTTTTGAGATTGATACTATACCCTAACCCTCAATGAGTGAACCCTAGGTCCTAATTATCTAAATCATAAACTATAAACCCTAAGATTGTGCATTGATTTTTTTGCCTATATTTGGATGAATCATAACCGTCGATTATTGTTTCTAATTAAATTGATCTTGGGGTATAAAATTTAGAGAATTAGACCTAAATGCTGATCTTTAAGGGTTAGAGTATAGTATCATGTCCGAAAGATCAGTCAATTCAAGTTCTGGATAGCATTTTTTTACTCAAGGTATGTGGTACCCCGGATTTCACCCTGGGTACCGTAGAACTCCCCAGATATAGTGTATAAAAATAAAGTCTTTTCATGCTAAAATGAAAAAGAAGGGATGTCGTTCGACTAAACACCGACCATCGATAAGAGAGCATTCTTGCCACAATATGGGCAGCTCTCTAATACCTATTCGGCAAAGGCCGAGTCCTTAACAAAAATTTCCACCCTTTGCAGGGCGGAAGTCAAAGACCAAGCCCCTGTGACTGTCAGAAGACCGCAATGCAGCAAAGCTGGACTAGTAGACACTGGCACTAAAGTCCAAGTGTCTTCATCTCGACATCGCCTCGAGCTCCCAAAGCTGGACTAGTAGACACTGGCACACTGCCAATAAAGCCACGGGTGCCAAAACATCAAACCAGCCAAAAGTTCCCAGTAAAACAAACAAATAACACGGAGTCCACTCCCGAACTCCGGATCCTACAAAACAAGCAAAGCAAATCACCCCTACAAAGGCACCCCAAGTCACCGGTAGAAGGACCATGTAGGTGATGCACAATAGGAAGTAGCAAACACAATACAGGGGCACACCCCACGCAAACTAAATAAATATGTGAGAACAACCTGTAGCTCGATTCTTGGAAAGACAATTGAAAAATAAGAACAAAAGTAGCAATGATAGAAGCAAAACAAAACAATAATTCTAGCTTAAAACAACAGCCAAAATAGAAGTAATTTCTGCTTAAAGGGAGCCAAGGAGGACGCAACAAAAGCAGCGTTGAGAGGCTCGGATAGAAAACGAAGTAAACAAGTGACTACAATAACAACCAGCCAAAAAATAGTAGAAATCAACATAGCTGAAACCATCCTACAAGCATCTGTTAACAACAAAGGCAAACCAAAGCAGTGACAACGACACCAATGAATGAATCAACAGCTTAGACGATCAGCCCAAGCGAAGGTTAAACCCTGAGGAAACGGGTCAGTAAGCCTTAATTGGACAAGGATAAGAAATCCGACCCATGCGAAGGGCGTAATTAAATTACTTAGGTGAAAGAAGCTCTAGAGAAAAAGAATAATAAAATATGGCAAAAAAAAAAAAAAAGAATAATGAAATTCACCAAAAATAGCAAGGTAAAAAGCTGGACTTATCAATACTAATACTAAAAATATGATTGGGAAACATAACAAGGCCAACCCAAAAGGTAACGCAAGCAAATAGGGTTGAGAAGCCCATTAATTAAAGAAATAAGCTAATTATGTAGGATTGGGTAACCTACGGAGGGGAAAGTTAATCTGCTAACTTGAAGATTCGTTAGCAGATACTAACTGATATCTAAATTATATGAACTAATATCCAAGTACTAAAGTATCTAGAGAGCACAGACTAGTATTCAAAGTTTGCTAATAGATATCCACCATGAATCAACTATTATCTCAAATTCACAAACTAATATCTAAACAACACAGAATAGTATCCAACAACACATAATTAGTATCTAGATAACACATAAGAGTATCCAGATAACCCATAAGATATCCATATTGAATACTAGTTGGTTGATTGTAGATATTAGTTGTTATCTGCTATCTGGATACTAGTTTGTGATGTTTTGAATACTAATTTGTTATATCTAGATACTTAGCATACTTGGATATTAGTTTATACATTTTGGATATTAGTTAGTATATACTAAGTTAGCAGATTAACTAGGCTGACCTACGGAAAGGCTAACTGGACAAGTAAGGTTAAAAGCTAAAAAGAACTAAAAGATAAAATCAACACAAATAACAAATAAAAAATAAAGGCTAACTGGACAAGTAAGGTTAAAATCTAAAAAGAACTAAAAGATAAAATCAACACAAATAACAAATAAAAAATAAAACACGCATATTCTTTTTTTATATGGAAAACCTGGCAGATTTCATTCAAGAGAATCAGGTTTGGCCACTAGGGCCCTGGCCCAGATCGGCCTCCAACAGACATGACAACTAGAGAGGTGGGTCATTAACCCAAACCACCTGGTGCTCGCACCTGGTAACAACGTGGGCTAGCTAGTGGGCAGGCCCATTACAAATCCTTGGGAAAAAATTCCACACAATCGGAATACCAGAGAGAGCTTCGTTCTCCGACGCCAACTTCCAAATCTCATCGCACCACCATCCCAACTCCATTCGGTCAGCCATCTTGTTCTTCAATTTTCCCAGCAAAAGTTAACAGTCCTACTCGACAATAAGAGGGCTCAATTGCCTTCTATTTGCTTCCTTCAACCCCATCAAAATCGCCTTAACTTCAGCTTCAATAGGCCTGCATACTAGGGCTGGCTATTTGGACCGGGACCGGATGAAAAACCGGAAACCGAACTGTATAACCCGGATCGAGATCGGACCGGGACCGGATAGTAAACAATCCAATCCAATCTTTGGGCTTAGATTTGAGGTAAAAAACCGGATAAAGACCGGATAAGAGAGCTCAACACCCAAAACTTAAGGGTAATTTGTATAAACGGTCACAAACCTTTGCACTTAGTACAAAACTTAACCAACTCCTCACCCTTTTAGGCCTTAGGCTACTCAAATTCCCACAATCTCAATATAAAATCAAGACCGAATTGAGACCGGACCGGGTCAAGACCGGACCAGATCAAGACCGGACCGTATCCAATCCAATCTTCGGTCCTTATATTTTCAAAAAAACTGGACTGGACCGGATCAATTTGGGCCAATTTAACCGGACCGGATAGCCACCCCTACTGCATACCCCTCTTTCCTTTCTTGCCATTGAACCAAAAAAATCACCCTTCCAATCCCTCATGATGTAGCCCAGGTCAATTCCAGAGTTGGAGGAGACGCCCGTATCCGTATTCATTTTGAAAACTACCTCAGAATGAGGGATCCAACTTCTAACCTGTATCCTCGCGGTGGTAGGGGGACATGCAGAAGGCCCCGAATCCGCGTTGTCCTGGGCATCCAGATAGGAACGGAGCCAAGCAATGGCCCTGGGGATGACCTGCTCTTCCTCCATCTTTTTATTGTTATGCTTGTGGTTACATCGCTCTTTCCTTAGGCACCAAAGAATGGCACTGAACCTCTGAATTTTCTCTTTTGAACAAGTTTTGAGAATAGTTTTCAGCCAATCAATGCATGATCTTCCTTATCCTTACTCAAAGACATCATTTTCTTCACATGATTTCCATCTGCGACGGATCCAATCACATTCCCTCAAAGCATGCATCTGGGATTCTGGGAGGCCACAAAATGAGCAGTCAGGACAAGCATTCTCAATCCAGTCTTCAACATTAGAACCCACAGGTAAAATATCTCTACTTGCTTTACAAAGGAAGATTCAGACTTTAGGTTGAATATCAATCTTTCATAGAGATTTCCAGAACTCAGCAACATCATCAGGAAGATCATGAATTCGGGCCATAGTGTTGAGTTGGTGTCCACGAATTCTCAAGTAGGTAGATTTAACCGAGTAGATACCATCCTCATTGTCCCTCTACACTCTCACATCTTCACAAGGGGGAAACATCATAGGGATCTTAGGAACCAGAACCTGGCTATGCTTGAGAACAATTTTTAACCGAATAGGCAGATTTAACCAAAACCCCAGCTCAACTTTTGTATCCAATGTCGGTCTTTCGGATCCCATATGGCACCCTTAACGAAATTCAGTCTATGATTCCAGTTTTTGGTGGGGGCAAAAAGGAAAAGAAACAAAATTGCATTGGCTGGATTGGGAGGAGCTCTGTGATGGGAAAGAAGAAGGTGGTTTGAGTTTTAGAGACTTGAAAGTTTTTAACCTGGCTATGCTTGGAAAGCTAGTTTGGAGTATCATAACCAGACCTTAGTCCTTGATGGCGAGCGTGTTGAAGGCGCAATATTTCCCTAAGTCGGACATCTCAAATGCTAAACTAGGGTATAGACCAAGTTTTATTTGGAGAAGCATCATGGAGGCAAAGGACCAGATTGTTGATGGGTTCACATGGAGAGTCGGGAATGGGAAGCAAATTTTGATTTGGGACGATGCTTTGATCCCTGGCAAGATTTTTGTCCATGCTGACCCCCTCCCCTCGGGTGCCCCATCAAATGACACTGTACACTCCGTTGGGACCTGGATAAAACACGCATATTCTCGTGGATAAATATAAGAACAGCATTGAGAAGTAGGGCTGTCATTTCGGTTGCCGGTTAGCGGCTAACCGGCCGGTCTAACCGTTAACCGTCGGTTAGCGGCTAACCGAAAACCGAAAAATAGAGGGCTCGGTCGGTTGACGGAATGGGTCAGTGGGCGAGCGGTTAGCCGATAAACCGAAGCCGGTTAACCGGCTAACCAACGGTAACCGACCGAGATGAAACGACGTCGTTTTTGCCTACCTTAAACACACCCATTCCCCCCAAACCCTAGCTGCCGCCTCCATTTTTGCAAGTGCAGAGCTCGCCGCCGCCTTAATTCTCCAAAACCCCAAAGGAACTTCTCCCGCCGCCTCACCTCGAGCCCCCAACTGCCGAGCTCCCGCCGCCTCGCCTCGAGCCCCCGTCGCGCCTCGAGCCCCTGACTGCCGAGCTCCCGCCGCCTCGCCTCGAACCACCGCCGTGCCTCGCCGCCCGTCACCCGCCTTGCCGCCTCGCCCGTCACCCGCCTCGTCGCTTGATTTAAGTACCTGAGAGAGCCAGTGAAGGGAGAAAGAGGAGTGGAAGAAATCGATTGATGGAAAAGGAAAGAAGGAAGAGATGGGAAGAAAGAAAGAGATGAAAAGGAAAGAAAGAAGAAGGAAGAGCAGAGACAAGATTGATGGAAAAGGAAAGAATGGAAAAGGAAAGAAGAAGAGATGGAAAGAAAGAAAGAGAGAGAGACGAAAAGCAAAGAAAGAAGGAAGAGAAAGAGACGGAAAGGGGTCTCCATTCATTTCCTTTATTTTAATTTTTTCCCCCCAGAACCAAGCCCATTCATGCCGGCTAACCAACTCTATAATCGAAACCGATCGATCGGTTAGCCGGTTAACCACTTCTTCCTCACGGTCGGTTGTCGGTAGTCATTGGAGGTGGCTCGGTTTAACCGATAACCGAGAATTCGATTTTCGGTTAAACCGAAACCGACCGGTTGACACCCCTATTGAGAAGTATGGAGCGGTCACTCTTGTCCACCAATAAGAAAACAAAAAACAAACCCACCACTTATCGTGTAAGACTAAGATAACCACAAACCCAAAATATGCCATACAAAATGCCACGTTGCAGCTGGTAAGGACACGTAAGTGGGGATGCCTCACACCCACTATTACACCATCCCATCGCCGAAACCGGAACCAGAGGCGACCAATAGACAAAAAGAACATTGAATTATGTATACCTAGATGACATGCGGGCAGTATAGGAGGCAGAAGATGAGATGGAGGCGGCGATTGAGATCTAGAGGGTGGAAATGGTGTTCCTTTGTGGATAAAGATGTTTCCCAGGTCAGAGCCTTCATCAAATCGGTAGAAGAGGCGGCGGCTGCAGAAACAACGACATCTGGAGAGAACCCAGTCATAATTCACGCACGGTGGCGTAGAAGACGATAACATCGGAGTCGCACGTCAGCGAATTGAAGAGGAACCTGTTTCCTAAACTGAAAGGGAGAAAAGCTAAACCGGCGCTGGAGTCTTATCGCCGACGGATTTTTTGTAGTCGACGGTGAAGCTTCCCTGTAGCCATCCCCGTCATTTTTTTTCTTTCTTTGTCGATGTCCTCGTCATCGTCACTGGCGTGGTCACCTCCATAAAAGCTGCGGAGAACAGAGTATAGATCTTTCTTCTTCTTCTCCTTCTGTCACTACTACTTTGTCTCCATAAAAGATGAGATGAGATGGTTGAGCAGAGCTGCGATGTGGAAGACGAAACGCAGATGGATAGAAGAGAGTTGCGTCGTTTTCTTCCTTCAATATGATTGAAAGTTTGAAAGTGAAATGCGCCTGCTGTCAAAATGTGTTGTTTGCTCATTTGAAAAATTTTAAGTGATTTCTACCCAAAAAAAAAATTAAGTTATTCTACCAAAAAAAAGTGGAAACTTATTGAGATGAGTGATTAATTATTATGTCTAATTAATTGCAGTATTGGTTTGTAATTTACCACGTGAGCTAGAGCTGCCCTAGGTGTTAGTCGAAGGGTATATATATGTGCTCTAGCCGAGTGGTTTGGCATCTTTGACCGCACAACCCTATTTACTGCTGCTTAATGAGAACTTCAGCAAGAGCTTGCTCCTATGGATTAGTCCTGTTCACATCGAACAGTGATACCACGTAAATTTTGTGTTCTTTAAACACGACATTTAACGTCAATACCTAAACATTAGTACTTGAATCCAACAAAGAACAACTTAACTTTTAAACTAAAAAAATAAATAATAAATTAATTTTGATAAATTAAATTCACTAAGATCAGATAATTTTACTTAGAGATTCGTATATCGATTATGCCGATCATAGCGGTGGTGTCATGCCGATTTTATGACCGGTACCGGTTGAACCAAGTTCAACAAGTGGCTCGCTGACCGACATGACAACCATGTACTTCAGTCGGACTCTTCCAAACTAACGGAGAACTCCCGTCAGAATATGAACACAGAAAAACAGTGATCGACCAAACAAAAATCAACTTCCCAAGTGTCCCTCTCCGGTGGTCTCTCAAAAATTAATTCCGACGATTTGTCCATCATTGACCCACCTCCTCCGTGTACATTTTTCCTCCTGGCTACATTTATAATGTAAAACAGTGTCGAAGGAATCCGATGTCCTCGTGGACGCCTGTCTTCATCGAACAGTGTCACCGGCGAGGTAGCAGACATCCCCAATCCAAGAAGAAGAGTCACATTTACCTCTGCGTCCGCCTCCTAAGTTTGGGTTGTCCCTATTGAAATCGTGGAAACCAAGTTCTAAGCGATGCAGAGTGAGACCATTGAATCGAAAGGCTTCCAGCTAATGCAAGGGATGTGTAAATGGGGATGTTGTAAAATGAGCCGGATTGTTTTAATTCCCTGTTGTGTCGATTCATGGTTGCTGCAATGGGAGGGTCAGTTTAAATGTTTCCCTTCTGATAACGATGTATTTGCACATGTTTTCACCCTTAGTTCTTATCCGTTTGCGGCTCGTAGTCGTGTATTTTTGGCCCATTTTACGCTGGGTTGTGCTACTTTGTCATATTTCAGGTCCCAGACGTCGAAGGAAAGGCTAAGCACGAGATTCGGGGCGTTTGGAGGTCATTCGGTCGAGCTGGGAGCAAAACACGGGCAGGAGGCCTGAAGAACACGGTCGTGTACACGAACGAGCACGCCAGTGTTTTTATGTGCGAGAGCTGAACTGATGGAAAAGCAAAACACGGGCTGGCCTAAAGAAAAACACGGTCGTGTTTCAGACTGTGTTATTTAGGCCAAGAGTTGATTTTTGGGAGCTGCTGCGATGTCCAAAACACGGGCGGAAGTCAACTAAAACACGACCGTGTCATTCTTTAGGCACGACCGTGTTTTGGCCGACGCGGGCGTGTTTTTAACACGTGGCGAGGGCACGGACGGGAAAAAGAAAAACACGGTCGTGCCAAAGGAGAGGGGATCTACTTTTTGGAGCAAAAACAGAGTTTTAGAGAGAAAGTGCGAAGAACAAACCCTATGATCTATTTGGAGTGGATTTCTCGCCATTGAAGCCCAGATTGCATCCCTAGGAGTGAAGATCATCATCCCGGAGCAGATTATCCTTATCGTTATGGGTATGACTACTCTGATGTCTTTTTTCCTCTCTCTCTATGGAGTAGAACCCTCTCTCACTTGGGTATGAAGAACTCTAGTTCATTGTGTTAGGGATCTTGATTGTAATGACTTGGGATTGTTATACTGATTGGTTATAATCGATTGATGCATGATTCATTGAGTCAATTGAAGTCTGATCATCTTTTCTTGATTTCTGCTGCAGCCTGAGATAGATAGAATCTGATTAGGTTGTTAGAGCTTCACCAAACGGTAGTGGTAGATTGATTATACTGCTTTGTACTGGAATCTAATTCCAGTAGAGGAGTTCTGTGTTCATAGCCTCAGCTTTCTATCCCGGTGAAGACTAGTCGTCTGCCGGGTAGTTGGACTGAGAGGACTTGGTCAGCTTAAGAGATTCCAAGCTACTATCGGATCTTCCACAGTTTAATCAACAGTTAATCAACCCAGGGTAATTACAACCTCGACCTAGCTAAGGAGCTAGGGGGACTCATTCCTGAGTGACTCTCCCCTTGCTAAAGAACTTCGAACCATTCCTGCTTTCTTACTGCTTTCAGTTAAAACCACAATCACTCGACTTAGTTTGCTAGATAATAAACAGTCACGGAGTAGGCAGTAGATCTAGGCTCTGGGTTAACAAATAGAGCTTGCCACTTACTGCATTTCCAGACTGCGATTGCACTTGGTCGCAGTTTGGTGTTGTGTTTTAGCGTGTCACCTTCGTATTTCTGGGTTTAGATAGCAAAGGGGATTGTGTGCGTTGTCACTGTTCTGTTCTTTGTCCCCCGTTCCCTCTTTCGTCTTGTGCATTTGTGTGTTCTGTTTCTTAGGGAATGCTGTAATTTGAAGTGGGCTACCTACAAATTGGATTGTTTTTAATAGTCTTCCCTTATTGTGAAGAAGAGGTGGCTACTTGTGGTGTTCCTCCTTGGATTGGTTTCCACATAGAAGAGTAATTAAGGAAAATGTCAGTGTTCATCTATTTCAGGCACTTCCTTTTTTTCTTTTTTCAGAGAAATCAGATCCATCGTTGTCCTCTAATCAATTGTTGCTTCTGAGATTTTCAGTTTTCGAATACTTGCTGCTACCTATTAGGCTGTTGGAAATAATCAGGCAGTGATGTGTAGAAATAAAATAATAATTGGCTAAAACCAATGGTATATTGTTCAACTGTATTGTCCAAGGGGATTAGCTATTCCATGTCAGTGACTCGTTATATGAGTTCAGCCATTCTAATGTATTGATCAATGATACTAAAGCCACCGAGCAACAAACCTATTTCCAGATTTCGTAAAGACTAGGAATGCCGCCTTATGTAATTATCATTTGGTTATACATGATGTTGTAATCTTGTTTTAGATGTAATTGCGTAGGATGTAGTATTTAAACCCATTAGGTAATCAAAAATTCCTCCCAAATCCTATAAATATATAGGTTGAAGTGAACTACCACAAGCCCAAGACGGCAAACTTGTACGAATTCGTTCGGTATATGTCAACTCCTCAAGGAAAACTTGTATGAATTCCATAGATCAACACATAATCTAGAGGGGAAGTCTATTTTCACAATGCTCACATTACCAGGATAAATTGCTTAATATTTATGACCCTCTTGTTTTGCTTACTTTTTCATCTATGACGCAGTTGAAGTTAGTAAGTACCTTGAACTCGATAACAAGGAACTATCACAAGCCATACTCAAGAATAGGAGTAACATGACATAGCTTGTGCTCTTTCTATTTGTACTTACATTTTCACTCTTTTCTTGATTGGTACAGCTGAAGGTATGACCATCCACAATGTGGGAGGGAGGGAAAGGTGGAAAAATAGGAAAAAAGTGAAACGAGGAGGGTTGAGTCTGTATGTGGGCAACGGGCCGGATCGTCCACGGGCTAGCACGGCACGATACGAGCACGGGCACGAAATATATGAGCCAGCCCGGCACGATCACGAATAATTTATGGGCCGTGTCGGGCGTAAACTTCATGGGCACGGGCACAAGCACGTGCACGACACGGTATATAAGTGGGCCGTGTCGGGCCTAATGTTTTCGAGACTTTATTGAGTATAAGAACGGACATGACACGAAAATAATATTTATTTTATCAAAAATAATATTTATTTTATCAAAAATAATATTTATTTTATCAAAAATAAATATA